TTCCTAGCCTGGGTGAAACGCAAGCGCCAAGAGTTATTTTCCCCTCACTGTGACGCTGCCAGGTGTCTCTGAAGGACGGGGTGACGCTGCCAGCGCTCGCAGCCCCGGGCCAGCCGAGGGGCTCGGGGCCGGGGCAGCACATCCCCCAGCCTGCCTTTTCCCTGAATAAGAGCTGTTTTGGTGCTAAAAACCCCCTCAGCCCTCTTCTGCCTGGAACCAAAACCCCTTTAAAGCACCAGGCTTATAAAAACATTCAGTTGGTGTTATGACAGAGAGATCCTTATCTGCCGATGTGCTGTAATTATGATAGAGCAGAGAGGAACTATTTCCCTCCCGTCGTGTTGAAACACGCTTTGTAACGCACGAAAAAAATCCTATAAAACTCTGCCGGGTGCTGAACTGCATCCTGTGAGCATCCCGGCCGGCTCCCGCCCCCCTCGGCGAGCGGTCCGGCACCCCGAGACCAGCAGTGCCGGGAGGGGAGAGCAGGGAGGCGAGCGGGTGAGGGAGGACTGAGTCACCGCCGCCACCTCCTCCTTGTCCCAATTCTCCAGCCTTTCACTGAGTCACGCTCCTCCGCGCCATCCCGGCGAGGACCCGCCAGCTTTCGCAGGCCTCCGCGTGGGCCGGGTGGCTCTGCCGGGCTCCCGCTGCCCCCGGGAGGGTGTGGGGATCCCGCTGCCCCCAAAAGCCGGGGGGCAAGGTGTGAGCGGGGCGCGGGGCCACCTCTACGCTTTCCTTGGGGGGCTGAGCGACAGCAGAATGGGGACCACCGGTTGCCCCCCGCGCGGAGCCGCGTGCCCAACGCTGGCATCGCCGAGGGGGAGCTTTGCAGCCCTGGGGCTCCTGCCCGCGTGCCCTGCGGGCCAGGCGGGCGCAGGCAGCAAAGCAGGGACGAGGCCGCGGCTGCCACCGGGGCACCACGACGAGGGCAGCAGGTTCACGTCACGCTCGATGCCCCCCTTGCTTCGCCGGGAGGGAAGTGAAGCCCCTGGGGAGCCGCGCGCTCCCGCGCCACCGAGCCATTCCCTCCGGCGGGGTTATATCTGGCGCCACATTTGCATCGCAGCAAGCCGGCGCACCTGGGCGGCGAGCGAAATCCTCGGGGGAGCGAGAGTGCGGGGAGCGGCTGACGATTGTCACACACAGGCTCGCCGGGGAAAGGAAAGTCCCGGCAGACAATTGTTTTTAGAAGAACCTGCTTCCAACCCGAGCAGCTTCGGCCCCTTGAGCAGAGCCTCCACCCCAGCACCCAGCACGGTGGCAGCAAAGGGTGGGATGGGGCTGGTGCTCCTGGGCTCTGCAATGGTGCTCTGCGAGCAGGGAGGGGGCTCCCAGGCCGGAGGCGATGCTCCTCAGCCGGAGGCACGGCCCAGGGGTGCCCCACCGAC